CAAAACCCCAAAACCCCAAAACCCCAAAACCCCAAAACCCCAAAACCCCATTGGATCAAATTAGGGTTAAAATTAAGGTAATCTAAGATATATAAATAAATTAGTAATAAAACTAAGAATTTAAATGGAAGTAAGTAGCAAAGTAGTAGTCAATAGATATTCATACTATTTCATAGGGTCAATAGTAGCAACAGCAACCACAAGTCATGGTAGGACAGCAGTATTAGGAATAATTCTAGCAGTAATTCGATCCTGCACTCATGCAACAGTAATTCATGCAAATGCCAAACGTGATGATGGGCGATTAAATGATGCCAAATGGTATGATGCCATTCATGCCCCCTTATTAAGGACAACCAGGTATTTATATCAATTTTTAATTTATTCAGCTTATGGTGGCTATAATCAATACCAAATGCCACAACAATATATGATGCCTTAATAAATGGGAGGATATCAATAGAACAACTACGGTAGAGGTGGTTATAATAAAGTGAACCCACAAAAATTCAAAACTGTACTATGCAGACACTTTGAGAATAATGGATCTTGTTCATTAAATGATAGGTGCTCTTTTGCCCACGGTTCTCACGAGATCAGAGGCTTCACCGATGTAATAAAATTGGACATTAATCTTTCCGTAGCCATTACCGTAGGAAGCAATGCACAGCAGACCACACAACTCTTCAGGCCATAACAGTGGTAACTATAAGACAGCCAAGTGCAAGAATTTTGATAATGGTATGTACCTGATAAAAATTCAAATTAATTTCGACCTTGATATAAAATAACTTTTCCAATTTCAAATATTAATTTTATCGATTAGGAAATTGCAAATACGGAGATAATTGCTCATTCGCCCATGGAGATCATGAGGTCAATAAAAAAGCATAAGAATTCAATTACTAACCAAGCTATAACAACTACAATCAAAATTTTCTCTAATAGCATGAACAACAGCAGCAACCCAATACTCAATGATGGAAGCCGAGATGAGAGCCATCCTTGAGACGCTTTTTGAAAAGATTAAACGAAAACCTTTTATCGATATTAAGACAGCAATAGAGATTCTCAAACTTAATAAAAAGTATTTATCTATGATGTAAGATATAGAGTTTTTTCTATTGTCCTTAATTCTTTAAAATATTCACTACAACTTTTCTACTCTCTAATTCAAATGCGCGGGGTTTTGGGGTTTTGGGGTTTTGGGGAGATCGGAAGAGCACAC